GACATGTGATTATTTGTTCCAGTCCAAGCCAATAATTTGGTGAATAAGTTCCTGTTCAAAACAAAAACAAGAAACCTCGCTCCCATAAAAAGGGAATAAAGAATAGTTGCTGGCAATAGACCAGCCTCTCCTGGCAGCCCCTAATCTGATAAGAAAGGCAAGAATCTAGCAGGTGTAATACGGGACAAGAGCTTCCAAGAGGCTTGTATGCATCCTCGAGAGAAACTAATTGAGACTGAAGCAATCTGAGTAAGCAGCAGCTTTAGATGTCGCCAAAGGAACAACCAAAAGAGTTGGATGGAATGTGAGCAATTTTATCTACAAATCTGCTTTGTAAAATGGTCATGTAATGCAGGATGTAACAAAACCGTCATAAGGAGAATATTGTACAAATTATACTCATATGCATGCCTAGTCCAGGGAAATCATGGCAATCATACAGGATGCTTAAATATCCCACATGCAGTAGCACTAAATGACAACCTTAGCCCATTAAGGCTGCCAAATAGACATGCCAACTAGACAAGAAATATCCTGTCCCTTCAATAGAGTGGAAATGGGAAGTTAAAGCTTTTCATGGCACGAAGTTAAACAATATCAGCTGATAAGTTTGCAAATCAAAGTGTTACTAAATGGACAACTAGAAGGACCAGTTTAAAAGTTGGCAACCTATGCAAGCCAAATGTTTAGTTGTGCCTTCTTATAGCCCAAAAAGCCATCCAATGGCAGAGGACTATGTGCATAGAACAGCTATTCCATGCAACAAAACAACAGCTGTATTGAGACAAGCTTTGACATTTATCCAGCATACATACACAGAATAAGAAAAACAACAAGTCCTTTGTTTGAGTTGTGTTAAAGTATTCAATAAGTGAAAAAATATTTTCCTAAGTTCACTGTTCCACATAGTGATAAAGTTAGCTACAAAGTCTTATCAATAAGTAATACATTTAAGCTGTGCCACTTAATTTATCAAAATCTTTACAATAGCTTTGTCAAGGTAGGTGAAGCATTAACAATGGCAAAGAAAGTTACCCTGTTACAAAAATGTTTTTGATGGCTATTTTTAAAAAACTGCACAAACTCCTATTTTGTTGGCAGTTCTAAATAGGGAGATAATTTTTGTTACTCATTCTAGTTTTTTGCTTTCAGTAACGAAAAGGTCTCTGCAAAGTTTTGGGAGTTGTTTATTCTTTTTCAGCAATACAGTACATGTAATATATTGGACAAATATTTTTTTGTGTGTAAAGTGCTGTCAAGTTACAGCAGCAAGAGGCTTTCAAAGCAAGTGATAAGCAGAGGTGGTTTGCCATTGCCTCCCTCTGCAGCGCCTTCCTTGGTGGTCTCCCTTCCAAGTACCAAGCGTGCTTACTATACTATGCCACCTTCTCTCCCAGACTAATATTTACATCTGTTAAAAGGACAATATGATCAGAGACTAAATAATTGTTGATTTTAAACAAATGAATAGCATTGAGAAGAACATATGTAAAAGGAAATGGTCTATCTGGGTTCTCAAATGAATGATCCATTGACCAGCTTCCTTGAATTAAGTAGGACCACAACAAGTTTTCAGTGAAAGCAGCAAAATGGTAAGAAAAGTAGGATAAAGCATATTTTACAATTATCAAAAATTATTTTCAATGATTGAGCCAATAGAAAGTCTGCAAAACCAGAGATGCTTGACTTGGATGCATGGTTTCGTCAAGGGAGAAAAGCTAAATAAGCAGTAGTGGAAGTGGGTCACAAAGGCTGCACCAACACAGCTTCATTCTCAACCACGGAAGCACTTCCAGGCACCTGTTTAATGCCATGATCAGATATGACAATACTGTTCTCTGAAGAAAGACCACCAGGCATGCAGTGACGCTTGAACTGATAGATCATTTCTCAAGCAGCTGGTGTCCTGGAAGGCAACTTAAATGGCAATCAGGCTCCTTTGTTGCAAAAGGGCTGCCACCTGCAAGAGTGGTCCAAGCACAGGTGCAGCAGCCAAACAAAAGCTCACCACTGGATAGTTTTGTGTGGGCACAGCTGCTGCCACCACACTCACACATGGGTTAATAAATGCTAAGTTTTTAAATTGTGCTACACCTGTGGATATATTATCCTGAGACATTCCTAAGAAGTTTATTAATGACAATATTTTATAAGGATAGGGATTTTAAATACTTAATAATTTTCAATATTATATCAATTATACAAAACTGCTTATTCAAGTCAAATATATTTTCAAGAGTCAACATTTCAGTCCACAATGAAAAACTTTCACTAATTTTTTTCTCACTTTGTGTCACCTTCTTTGCTGGATGAAATGTGTGTGGGTTTTTTTTAAAAAGTGAACACAAGAATGTCATCAGGGTTAATTCAAGAAGTAGTCATATGATACACCATCATTTACTATCCTGCTAAGAGACAGGTTTTTGTCTACCTTAAACAGGCAATTGACCACCAAAGCAAAATATGTTTCAACAAATTCATTACATTTATTTGTTATATGGCATTATTTGCTATTGTTACACAAAGAATCTAGAATAAAATATCTACATTTGACTATGGTTGGCATTTAAATGTTTGTGATTCTGTCCCTTGGTTTTTCTTCTTTTCAGACTGTAACATTGTGGAGGTCTTTGATTTTAAACAATATAATCGAATGACTGACCATACTGGTCGGGTGTGTGTGTGTGTGTGTGAACATTTCATTGTTTAGTATCTGCATTCTAAATGCTTGCTCAAAAACCTTTTGCCTGTGCATTTTACACCTGCAGTGCCAGCAAAGGGGGGGGGGAGGCAGCTTAAGTTGGAATGAGGGTCTGCAGGAACCATATCTTTATTCTCATACAAGCTACAAGCATGGACGGCTTCAAAAGGGAATTAGATAAGCATATGGAGCAGGGGTCCATCAGTGGCTATTAGCCACAAGGTATAGATAGGGGCTCTGGGGCAAGTGATGCTCTGTCATCTTGGTGCTTGGGGGGGGTTCAACAGTGGGAGGGCTTCTAATGTCCTTGCCCCACTGGTGGACCTCCTGATGGCACTGGTATTTCTGGCCACTGTGTGATACAGAATGTTGGACTGGATGGGCCTTTGGCCTGATCCAACATTGGCATCTCTTATGTTCTTAAATATCTCTACAAAGTTATAAAAAAGGCACCCCAACCTCTCTGAGGCAATTCCATCTTTAAATTACAGGAACTAAGTACCTCATTTACCATAAGGACAAGCTGCAATCACAGTGCCAGCTTTCTTAATACTGTATGTTCAAACACTTCCTCAAAGCAGGTTGCCTACCTTACCAGGAAACAAGTGTTTATACTTGTTACACAACTTTTCTCAGTATTACCCTAAATAAATAATAGTAATTACATTGTTCTAATTAGACTTTAAGTGCTAAAAAAATATCTCATCTGGAAGATGAGTAACAAGCAATACCAGCGTTGCAAAAGCAATAACTTCCGTGGACCTTCTGGGGGTAACCAATCTGCCTCCATTACCTATAACAACCATAAAAATGATTCAGTCCGGGTTTAGTGACGCCCCAGCAGACCATGGCCATGTTAATCTATCCTTTCGCAACCGCCAGCTATGTGACAGAAGTCTTTTGTTTCCTCCACATAACAGCAATAAAGAAAGATGCAAACACTGTAAAAGTAGGTGAAAGGGGGAGAAGCAGCAACGCCCTGTCACCCTTGGTGCCGTCTGAAGGAACAACCGTGCAGAAGGGTTTTCCCTAACGCCCTCCCAGAGGAGCGGTGCCCTGCTTTGCTTGCCTACCGGTCCGGTTAAAATGTAAACCAGTTTTGGCCGAGAAGGTCTGGGCCTTTCAGAACGATCCCTCTTCTCCCCGTCCTGCACCCAGAGTAAAAGGCGGCAGGTCCGACCGTCTACTTCGAGAGAGCGCGCAAGCGGCGGCCGCTCATGTCTGCGGAGAGGCCTACTTTGAAGGGTGGATTCTATGGCTTTGTAGCACACTGAGGCCCCTCCCCTCCACAAACCCTGCCCTTTCCTGGATCTACCCCCAAAGTCTCCATATATTTTCCAACCCAGACCTGGCAACCCTGGGTTTAACCAACAAAGGCAAGCTCTTTCCTTAACAATAAGATTCCCGGAATTCCCCTCAGACAATCCACTAAGGCGCGCCGGATACGCAACGATATAACAACTTGCAACTTTGCACGAAAGAAATCTCTGCTCACATTCGACAGTGGCCGGTCACCCCTGCTTTTTCGCGCGCGTTTCCTAATCCATTGGTTTTGAGGGTGGGGGCGGGGGGGGGCTGTGTCGTTGTTGTCACTCGTAGTTTCTCATAGGCACCTCCCCCTCCCCTCCCCTGTAGAGCATGGTTGCCGTGCTCTAATCTCTGAAGGTGAACCCGCCGTGGATAAGGCAGGGCGAGGCAGGAGCCTGGACTTTTCAAGTGCCCGTTTGTCTTTCCTCCCCCACCCCACTTAGCAAGCACTTCATCGTTTGGAAATGGCTCACCTGTGAGGCGGAGGCGGCGGCTGCAGGAGACCCGTCCTCCTGCAGGAACAATAACGTTCGCCGCCGAAAGGGTGGGGGCGTGTTGGAAGCTATTATTTACAATAATAAAGCAGCAGATGGAGCATCTGCTGGACAATCCCCCAGCGCTGGTCACGGCAGTGCAGGTACAGCACAGTGGGAGAGGACCGCGGAAGGGCGCTACTCTTCCCCCCCCCGCAGTGAGGGCCAATCAGAACGATTCCTCTTCTCCCCGTCCTGCTCCCAGAGTAAAAGGTGGCAGGTCCAAATGTTTGCTGAGGGAGAGGGAGAGAGCGCGCAAGTGGCGGCCGCTCATGTCTGCGGAGAGGCCTGACTCCGGGGTACCGCAGGGGGCGATAGCGGGCCACTGGCAGCGGTGGGAGGGGGACGCGGAGGGCCCCTGTGAGCAACGGCAGCCACCGCAGCCGCCTCAGGAGGAGGCAGAAGAAAAGGCGGGCGCCTCGCTAGATGCCGAGGTGAAGCGGCGACGCTTGAGCGAGAAAGAAGCGGAGGGGGCCACGCTGCTGGGAGAAGGAGAGCCGAGCGAGGCGGCACTAGGCGACGACCCGTCCCCAGCCGCAGGCCTGTCGCCGGGTTCCTCCCCCCCGAGCTGGTGGTGGTGGCGGCGACTGCAGCGGCGGCTCCTCTCCTCTTGGCCCTCGGCGCCGCCGCTGGGGACCCAGAGCTGCCCCTGCGCGCCAGCCCGCTCCATCGCGCACTGTTGTCATGGAGGAGCCAAAATGGCGGCCTTGGCCTACACCCTGGGCAAGCGGGAGATCAACCACTATTTCAGCGTGAGGAGCGCCAAGGCGCTAGCGGTCGGCGCCGTCCTCCTGCTTGCTGCCTGCCACGCCGCTTCCCGCCGGTACCAAGGTGAGGAGGAGGAGGAGCAGCAGCAGCGGGGGAAGTAATGGAAGGGAGCGCGAGGGACCCCCGGGGCCGAGCAGCAGGGGGAGTGAAGCGCCGTAGGCGGCGGCCAAGCCGGCTTCGCTGCCAGGAATAGCTCGCATCCTCCCTGGTCGTGGAGCGAGGCTGCGGCTGTGTCGGCGCACACCGCCTCGGGCCTGGAGGCATGCGGGGGCGGCAGGGACTGTTCTCGGGCTCTGAAGGGCGGCGGGGCGGGGGGACACACCTGCTTTAGGTGTCCGAGGTTGGCCCTGAGGATGGCGTCCCACGGGGGCTGACACCTGCCCCACTTTGCCATCCTCCTGCTGCCCACAGCCCTCCCTCCCTCCAGTCCGTGTCCGCCCCTCTCCTAGCGATTGTCGTCAGTCCCGTAGCAGCCTGTGGGACAGACAGAAGGACCGCTCTGGGGCTACTCGCCAAAGGAGTGCTTTTGTTGTTGTTGTTGCTTTTCCTTTTTGGGGGGCCAATCCCCAGAGCCTTCCAGCAGTGTAGGTGATATCACGTTAGGTGTTAAGGTGATATGTTCTTGTAGCGGATTTAGGGTTCCCTTTTGAAGTAATTCCTGCCCCGAGGTCTGTGCCGGCTAATTAGGACTGTGCAACATAAACAGTTCTAGGTGCGTGGGAGGCAATAAACTGTGTAGTTTGGCACTTTGATAGACCGCAGAGATCTGGTAGGTCGGAAAGAAAGGTGACACTGTGTAGTGATGTTTAAAACACTTAGCTGGAGATCTATAGAAACAGGTTAACTAATTGGGAACTTTGCCTCTCCTGTGTGATTCCCATACTTCTGTGTGTGTGTGTGTGTAATCTCTACCATTATTAAAGTTGACCCATCTCTGAACTTGGTCCTTTGTTGGAGGCAAACATAAGAACAGGTGGGACAGATAAGAACCAGTAGTTGTCGGAACTCTGTACTGTAGTAATGGAAGCAAATCTCTCCATCTGAACCCTGAAAATGGAGCTGGGTTTGTCCCTCCCCTTTATTTGCTGCATTTATATTCTGCCATTCCTCCAAGGACATGGGTTGAGTAGTAGCTTGGCCAAGGCTACCCTGCAGGTTTCTTATTCTTGAGAAGGGCACTGGAACTCGAATTTCCTATATCCACACACCACTCTCCAATCATGATACAACATTAACTTAAAAACAGGTATGATAGGGACTGTATGACCCAGTGGCTTTGAATGCAATAGTCTTGTGCTTATAGGAGCTTTCATGTGTTTTTGGTTTCGTGCAAAACTGGGAATGTGGGAAATGCAAGAAAAGTACTTTACTTTGTTTTGTTTGCGGTCCGTAATTCTCATGCTGTGTGGTTTTAGTAGATACAGGCACATACCACAGCATTGAGATAAGCAGCCTAAGGCTGCATTGTTTTAAAAAACTTTTCCTTATCTTAAATTCTTGTAACTCTACTTCAGTATTCAGTGGAATACAGTGCCCATGACTTTGTAGGAATCTGAGCCAGATGTACTTTTGACTCTTACTAGTGCACAATATATCTCTCTTGTTGTTTACCAAGAAAGCTTCTAAATTGAACAGTAATGATGCAATTCTAAGCTCACTTCTTGGGAAGCAGGACTGCTTTATCCACTGGGCAAAAGTGGTAGTTTCCCAGGATTCACAACCATTATGGGCCTGCTACTAGATACAAGACAGCCAGTGTGGTGTTGTAGCTAAGAGTTTCAGACTAGTATCTGGGAGAACCGAGTTCAAATCCCCACTCGTGCCATGGCAGCTCACTGGGTGACCTTGGGCCAGTCACACACTTTCAGCCTAACCTGATAATAGGATAAAATGGAGGAGAGGAGAACAATGTAAGCTGCTTTGGGTCTCCATTGGGGAGAACAACAAGGTACAGATGAGTTAAATTAATAAAGATATAAGATAGGGCATATAGCATGAAAGCCCCTTCTAAGAATGATGCTAAGGGGTAGTGTGGATTATACATTTCTCAGGTGTTGCCCTGGTAAGGCAGCATCTCAGTACAGAATTTCACCAGGAGGGCAACTGAAGATTTCCTGCAGTGTGTGCCAATGCTGGTGGCCTGGTACAATCTCAATTTTCCCACCAGAGGTACTGTCTTTTCTCTAACCCAGCTTTTCCTTGTGAGAAGTTGTTTCCCATTAATGCAGACTCAAGAAGGAGCTGCTTGTCCTCTTGCTGCTGCAGGCAAACTGTCCTCCTGGATTGACCTTTGGTTTCTTGGAGAGGAGACTCTCCCACACACACTTCTTCTTATTGGAAGTTAAAGCATGCCAGCTGGGGCAGCCTCAGCAGCTGCCACCTTCTAACCCCTCAGGATGGCTGCGGAGGAAAGAGGACTTGCAGGTAGAATGCATGCTCTGTGTCCATCCCATTCCTGGTTCCCAGTTCTTTCCCTCTTCTACCCACCCAATTTGTTACCACCTCTGCTTATTCTATAGGGGCTGCGGTGGCTCAGTGGTTAAGATGATGAACTGCAGACGGAAGGTCAGTAGTTTGGCAGTTTGAGACCTGAGTGCCGCATGATGGAGTGAACTCCCGTCTGTGGTCCCAGCTCCTGCCAACCTAGCAGTTCGAAAGCAAGAAATTGCAAGTAGATAAATAGGTACTGCTTCGGCGGGAAGGTAACAGCATTCCGTATGCCTCAGCATCTAGTCATGACGGCCACATGACCACGGAGACATCTTCAGACAGCTTTGAAACAGAGATGAGCACCACCGCCTAGATTCAGATTCGACTGGCTTTCAAGCAAGGGAAACCTTTACTGCTTATTCCTCTTTCTCCTTTGTGCCACTACGGCTTTTGCCTCCTCCCCTTCTGTGTCTTAATTTATTTTATTTATACCCCGCCTTCCCCGGCGAAGCAGGCTCAGGGCGGCTGATCTCTGTGGCTGATGCTGCCACATGCTGCTGCATTGTTTATTGGAGTTGCTAGGCAACCCCCAAAATGGTAGCTCAGATTTTGTGATGTAGCATCCTGAGATCTTTTTTCCTTTAACATAGAGTGGGGTGGGGGTTAAACCCCCTTAACCTTTTTAACTTCTTAGATTGTCTGCAAATCTTGGAAGGTTAATAGAGAAATCCCACCCCCATCTGTATATAGCCACATTGCACGTATTTTTTGGTCCATACTATAGGGCCACATTCAGAATTTGATGTAAAGATAATTTCCAGGCATATCATAGTAAAGACATTTTCAAGCATATCACTTGTTTCAGTTAAACTAATTTTGTCTACAAGGTATACAAAGTTAATACACTACTGTGTAGTGTTTTCAGTGTAGTATCATTTAACTCAGTATCCAGATAAACTGCTAGTCCTGTTATGCAACTGTTTCTGCCCAAATAACACAATTTCTTTTCTTTACTACGGAATTTGTGTTTTGTTTTATCAACTTTTTTCCTACTTGTCATCTAGTTTGAATTTACTTGAAAAATAAAGGTATAAGGTACCTTAATTCCTCCGTTTTTATTTATTAATGTTTCTCTTCTTTACTCTCAGACTAAGCCTAGCAGCTGCTGTCACTATTATGACATAGAAATTGGCACTCCAATACCTACATTGTATCCAATAAACACAGAAGAGAAACAGAACAATCCAGCTGTAGCCCACCTGCCTCCTCAGACCTCTTTAACCTTTCCCCACTGTACTTATTTGCTCGTGCAGTGCTTACACAGCAGTAGGTGAATGGTGTCACTGTAAGAGGATGTCTTCCTGAATGCTACAGCTGTTCGTTTTTCTACCTTCCTTTGTCTCCCTCTCTTGAGAGCCAGTTTGGTGTAGTGGTTAGGAGCGCAGACTCTAATCTGGGAGAACCTGGTTTGATTGCCCACTCCTCCACATGCAACTGCTGGTGTGACCTTGGGTCAGTCACAAGTTTTTTCAGAGCTGTTCTCTCAAGAGCAGTCCTTGAAAAAGCTCTCTCAGCCCCACCTACCTCACAGGGTGGCTGTTGTGGGGAGGGGAAGAGAAAGGAGATTGTAAGCCGCTCTGAGACTCCTTTGGGTAGTGAAAGGCGGGGTCTAAATCCAATCTCCTCTTCCTCTTCCTTTCTCGTTCCCCATATTTTGATGCTTTCCTATAGAGTTAGAGTTTCTCCATGACAGATGCATAGCTGTACCAATGGTTGGCTGGCTCCTTGCTCTGGAGCCAGCAAATGAGAGACTCCTTTGTGTCTTTATTGGGAATCCTTCATGGGCGCATGTGCCTTGCTGCTTCTGTACTTTCTAAATCTATTAGTGTCCGGAGCAGGGCTGTATGTTAGAGGTTTCTTGTGAAAGCATGAAGTCAATCCTGTGTGTATATTGCATGCCAAATATTTAATGAAGGATTTAAAATCAGAAAGTGTGCATCAGTAGGGGTCAACTGGAGACCACAGTGCTGCTTTGGGAAACTTGGGTGTTTATGGGATGTAATATTGCTGCAGTAGTTTGTGTAAAAAAGGTAATGTCAATCACCTTTACATGCAAATAAACGTTATCAGTGGTGTTTGGAAATATGTTAAAGATTTACTTAGAATAAAAATAACTGAGGAAATAGTATTGAAAACTTTCATGTCACTGTAACTCTTCTTTTCTGCTGTCATTAAATCAGGGACAACTTGACACATGGCCCAGCGTCTTCCTCATTCTGATGGACCCCACACTGCACCATACTGGGAGTGTGAGAAGTGGTGTTCTTATTTGTCAAGCACCTCTGTTTTCCCAACAGGAAAAAAAAATGCCTGCAAATTAAAAAGCAGTGTGACTATCTCCCAGCTCAATCTCTTATTTTGCAAATGTTCCTCCTAATTAATTTCTTGAGGCTATGGGACAGGGAGCAAAGAGGGCTCTCCCTGGCCAAGTTACGAGGCTGCTGGTGGTGCTCTGTCAGGGAGGATCTGTCTGTGGGAATCCAAGCCAGAGAGAATCCCTGCCCTAGAGAGTATCTCTCTAAACATAAACAACTGATTGAGCAGACTTGTATAATCACCAGATAATACTTCACCCTTTTGCTTGCTAACACATCACTTTTTATTGGAACTTATGATTAAATGGAATTGTTGAAGCTTATTTTCACATGGAGACAAACCTGAGTAATTGATAGATGATAATAGGTTATATCTTTAAACACAGATCATAAAATGCTGTGGAAACCACTGACGGTCTAATTGTCCATTATCTCTCAGTGCTTGTAATGGACTCCTGGTTTTGTTTAACTGTTTATATCCCACTTTGGGAATTAAAAGTGACTTGCAACATCATTCTTCCCTCTTCCATTTTATCCTCACTACAGGGGCTGAAGGAATTGTTCCTCTCAAGGAAACTCTGAAGGAAGATTTTGGTAGTGGGATGGGGTTTCTGAATTGTTCCCCCCCCCACACACACACACAGTTGCATGTCTCCTGTTAATATACTAATAGCCATGATGCCCCCTCTGCACATCGGGGGCACTTGGGGGGCAAAGATATTTTCCTGCACACTTGGGGCAATCCCCAGGTATGCAGAAAAATCTGAAAAGTTAAAAAAAAAACTATACGGGGGATACTTAAATCCCCCCAAAAGTAAAAAAGCATTCCCTGCGCATGTGCAGGGAACGCACTGGAAACGGTGCCTCGCAGCCGTTGCCGGGGGGGAAGACTTGACGGGACCAGCGGCTGGGAGCTGCTTGGGCCTCGCTGCCGGTGTTGGGCAAGCTTGGCGGGCCCGGTGGCTGGGAGCCGCTCGGGCCTCACTGCCGTTGCCAGGGAGGAGGGAAGCTTGGTGGACCCGGTGGCTGGGAGCCAATCGGGCCTCGCCACCAGTGCCGTGGGGGAGGGAAGCTTGGCGGGCCTGGCGGCTGGGAGCTGCTCAGGCCTCGCCGCCAGTGCTGGGGGGGGGAGCTTACCTGTGGCCACTTCCTCCTCAGCCCTAATACTCCCCCCCCCGCAAGTATCATGGCTCCCTCTTCTTGTATTGTTCTAATTCTGTAAGCGTTCTCTAGTATTGTAGAACATTATTTTACTTGAAAAAGACAACACTGTTCAGTGGTTCTGGGTTATACATTTACCAGTTTTCAATCTGTAGTTTGAGCATGTTCTTTAAAATTAAACTTCAGTCTGTCACATTTTAAGTGGGAAGAGTTCCTTGGTCGTGCTTTATGAATAGTGGGTGAGCACTAAGGACTGGCCTTTTCTGTCGTGTCACTGCTGTACAGACAATTTTGAATTTTCTCTCTACTGAAAACACATCTATTACTGAAGCAACAGTGTTAGGTAAAACTTCTTTATTTTCCTAAGCATATAATGAGATCTCTTCCTATATGATTTAATCTATGTTTGTCACACACACACACCCCTTTTAAGCTATAGTCTGCCTATTGCAGTGTGTGTTATGATTCGGATACTGTTTTCAATGTTATTCTAAACTGCCTTGAGTACTTTACTAAACAGTGTGGGGTATAGATGTTTAAAATAAATGGGTGGGAGATGTTCCATGTATGTTCTGCTGATGCCCTTTATATAAGACCCTCCTGTGGTCGGGACCCAGACCTAACAGTCCCTTTTCCAGTCCCTGCTTGTATGAGCTGCATCCTTATCAAGCCTCTCCTGCCTTACAGCTAAATGGATCCTATGCCTTGCCTGTACTTTTCAGTTGGGTTAGAAGCTAGCCAGGAACTGTATAACCATACTGAAATAATTGGAAGTGCTTGCGTTTCGTGTAGTTGCTAGGCAAATGTCCCTGTTCATGTTGTGGAGGTTGCTTCTCTCAGGTCTTATACTGCACAGCAGAACAGAGATGATGTCGCTGCCTCTTATAGTTAGCATTGCCTGCAGGTCACCTTCTTGACATTGTTGCACCTAAATGAACATCCAAATATTTCTGTCGCTGCAGTTTCGTCTTTATAGCATGTCATACCAGTGTATTCTAGTGATGAAACTGTATGATGATAATAGGGTTGGGCAGCTCAAAAAAAGATTTGATCAATAGGCTGGTCAAAGACTGTCAAAAATTATCACAACAGAAATAGACTTAAATCATCAACAGGTTTAACCATTATAGTAACAAAAATATTGTTTCATAATAAAAGAATTTCATTAGTTAATTTTTTAAAAAATTAACTTTCACTGTAAAGGTAAAGGTTCCCTTGCTCGAAAGCCAGTCGAGTCCGACTCTAGGGTTGCGGTGCTCATCTCCGTTTCAAAGCCGAAGAGCCACACTGTCCGAAGATGTTTCCGTGGTCATGTGGCCGGCATGACTAAACACCAAGGCGCACGGAACGCTGTTACCTTCCCACTGAAGGGGTCCCTATTTATCTACTTGCAATTTCTTGCTTTCAAACTGCTAGGTTGGCAGGAGCTGGAACTAGAGATGGGAGCTCACTCCGTCATGCGGCACACTCTGGTCTCGAACTGCTGATATGAAAAAGAAGTCCTTTGGTTTTTATTTTAGTATACCATGGCCAGCCTACAGTTACAAGTTTAAAAAAATAAAACTGATAAAGCAAACTGTTAACAGAGAGAGTATTCATCAGTTCTTGCAGCAAGCAGAGCAGGGTTATGAATAGTTCCCATGATCGCTTGTGTATCCTGTTCCTGTGTGGATATTCCTGTAGCTATAGAAGAAGAAGAAGAGATTGGATTTATAGTCCGCCCTTGACTCGGAGTCTCAGAGCTGCTTACAATCTCCTTTCTCTTCCCCTCCCCACAACAGACACCCTCTGAGGTAGCTGGGGCTGAGAGAGCTCTTTTGAGAGAACAACTCAGAGAACTTGTGACTGACCCAAGGTCACACCAACAGCTGCATGTGAAGGAGTGGGGAATCAAACCTGGTTCTCCTAGATTAGAGTCCACACTCTCAACCAGTGCACCAAGCAGGCATCCTGTAATACAACAGTGGCTGTGCTTCTGGGTTTGTCCTTGACTATTGCCATAACTCCTGCCTGATAGATTTGTAGGTGCCATGGCCGGCTGATACTCCCAACCTAGGGCCCTTTGGGTTCAACCTTCATAGGAGCAGACAGACAAACAAAAGGGGGCAAGGAAGTTGCAAGTGTAGCTGAATACTCCTTAATGATCAGAAAAGTTATTAAAGAATTGACACCTTTAGAAGAAGTTATTGATTATAATGATACAGGGCACTTTCACACATGCTGAATAATGCACTTTCAATCCACTTTTGATGCACTTGAGTGATTGTTTGCAATTGGATTTTACCATTTTATACAGTAATATTCAGTTGCAAGGCACGTCTAGAGTAGACTGAAAGCACATCATGCAGTGTGTGTGTGAAAGCCCCCGTACTCAAAAATTTAGCAACAAAGGGTACAGTTACAAGCGTTCCATATTCAGACATTGGCAGAAAGTCACTGCTCTATACAGCACTCGTCCAAGCGTGAGTCTCAGGTGTGTCTTGTTCTGGTTAAATAAGTAAACTGTACTTCCTCCTACATGCAGGATGTGTGTTACCAGGAACCACCTTGATAGGACAGATTTATATTTGCCTTACATAATTTAACAAGGCGTTTCTACATTTTTACGACACCACTTTATCTAAATTCCTGGAAACAGATTAAGAGGTTCCCCCCCCCTCAGACAGTCAGTTCTGCTGAAACATTTCTTGGGTTCTATTTTGCTATAGCCCTTTGCTTTTGTTTGTGCATTGTTTTTTCCATTATTCCTAACCTTAGTATTAATATTGCAAGGTGATATTATTTGGAATCACTCTGTATATCACAGTTAAATACAGTAACACCACACTGCCCTTGCTAACCAATGTCACCACAGTAAAATTTAAGAGAAGATGCCCCTAATATTGACATTCCTGCCTTAATGGAATATTTGGGGATACAATTTACAGTGTTTGACCAATCAATTGACCAGCATGCCAACTGTAGATAAGCATATATGCAAGTAAATAAAACACATAACATAGTGTGTTTTAAGAGTTCTTACACAACTTGTTTTTACAAGGACAGAAGTTCTAGATATATATGCCAGAGTAGCAGTGTGTGTAGTAAACTATAAAGCATGAATAGAAAATAAGAGAGATCTCTTTTATATCTTATGAGGGTTCCATTGCTGTACCTTCAGTAGAACTGGATTGAGTCCTACCAGTTCAAAGAAACACAGTTGAAACTGTTCTCACAAGCAGTTCAGCAAAAACATTTGCTGCCCTTATTTCTTTATAACAATACCTATAAGAAAGATGATTATTTTAGGCCACAAATACTTCAGTACTTTCTGTGTTAACTATAGGAATGATAGTAGTGATACTGGGAATAATATGCATCAATTTTTGCATTGAATCCCGGTAACAGATATTACAGTTGGGTTGCAAACACGGGTGCTGACTGAGAAGCAGTGGAATTCTAGTTTGTGTTTTAATGCAGAATTCAAGTATCAAACCTCTTTTCTTTTCTTTTTTTAAAAGGAGATGATTCTTGTGAGTACCTTCTTTCCAGTGGGAGATTTCTTGGGGAGAAGCTATGGCAGCCTCACAGCTGTATGATGCATAAATATAAATCTGGGTAAGGTGTCAATGCTGTAAATATTGTAAATGCACACTTATACATTTATATCTTTAGATTCTTTTACTGTTAAGTTCAGGTGGCACAGTGTAGTGGAACATCGTAGGATGCATTAACAGAAGCATTGTGTCCAGATCAAGGGAGGTGGTAGTTCCGCTCTATTCTGCTATGGTCAGGCCCCACCTGGAGTCCTGTGTCCAGTTTTGGGCACCACTTTTTAGGAAGGATGTTGACAAGCTCAAGCGTGTCCAGAAGAGGGCAACCAGGATGGTGAGCGGGTTGGAAACCAAGTCTTATGAGGAAAGGCTGAAAGAGTTGGGTATGTTTAGCCTGGGAAAGAGAAGGCTTAGAGGGGACATGATTGCAGTCTTCAAGTATTTGAAGGGCTGTCATGTAGAATATGGAGCAGATCTATTCTCTCTTGCTCTGGATTGCAAGACTAGATCTAATGGGTGGAAATTACAAGGGAGTCGTTACCAGCTAAATATCAGGAGAAACTTCCTAACTAAGAGTGGCTGAGCAGTGGAACAGTCTGCCTCGGGAGGTGGTGGATGCTCCTTCGCTGGACGTTTTAAAGCAGAGGCTGGATGACCATCTTTCGGGTATGTTGTAAGTATGTAGGGCTAACTTTCAGTATACTCCTGCAGAGTGCAGGGGGTTGGACTAGATGACCTGCAAGGTACCTTCCAACTCTAACGTTCTATGATTCTATATTTGTGCTTCTTGGGCATGGTACTCCAAAGTCTGATAGTGGTTTTTCTAGTTATTGGTAGGGGGGTGGAACGTGCCATCAAGTTGCTGCTGACTTATGGCAGCCCCCACAGGGTTTTAAGGCAAAGAGACATTCAGAGGTGTTTTGCCCTTGCCTGCCTCTGCATCACGAGCCGGGACCTCCTAGGCAGTCTCCCATCCAAATACCAATCAGGGCTGACCTTACTAAGCTTCCAAGATCTGATGAGATTAGGCTAGCCTGAGCTATATCCAGGTCAGGGCTTTCTAGTTATTACTAGATGTAAAATAATTAGTAATGATAGAAAATCTGTACATTGCTTAATATGAAGAACGGGGTCATTTAATTTCTGGCCATACAGGTGACACACATAACTTCAACCTGATGTTTAAGGTGGTCTTGGAAAGCAAGGATCAGGCTGAACTCACTCACTTGGATGTTCCTTCCTTGGCCATGTCTTATTAAAATGGCAGTGCTACATGTGGCAGCCATTGGTGTTGGTGATTATGCTCTTTTTCTCTGCTTGCTTTAATGTTGTAAAAGAGAAAGCAAGAGGCCAAAGAGCCACCATAGGAACAGAAACTGTCCCTCTGTTAACCTTGTTGATGAGCTTTATTAGGAGAAGCTTGATATTACATAAAAAGGAAACAGATTGTCACTGCAGATAAAGTTGGTCTGCCTATTATAGTGTCACTGTGAGGGATGGATATAGTAGTGGGCCTTCCATCTTACTTGTGCCCCTGCTTTAGTTCAGGTATTAAGAGGCTGTGTTGATTTGACCTGGATAGGAGGTCCAACACAGGCTTTAATATTTCCGTTCCCTGGGTGATTATATAATAGCTTTCATATGTGTTCGTTAATTTACTGTAAAATAAAGGACTGTATGAGAAATATTCGAATGTAACAGTTAATAAAAAGTATGTATGTGAAACACTCTTAAACACAGCTTCCATTTTAATTTGGATTGTCAAGGTTTGTAGAGAGGGATTGGTATGTTTTGATTGCATTTAATTTTTAGATGTTCAGAGTTTTAGAAAAAGGGAAGCATTGTGTCATTGAAACCCTCATATGCCACTGGAACTTGTGTTAGCACAGCTGCTCACTGACTGGCACAATCCTGATGAGCCCCATTGTTTTCTGTAGTACTTCAGAGTAAATAATTGTAGGGTCATGGCTTTGAGAAGAATCTGTTCTATAAACCACATTGATATTCATGGAATACGCACAACTTTACACTCTTCCTTCTGGTTGAATTCTGTATTTGTGTGAAGAATATTCTATATTGCATTCCTGGGTTGTTGTTTTTTGTAAATTACTCTTTTGTCATATTTATAGCAAATTAATATTAATGTTTGCTTTCACAGTGAAGCAAAAGACTGCCTTGCAGACAAACACATAACGTTTATAGGTGACTCTAGAATTCGTCAGCTGTTTTACTCCTTTGTAAAACTCATAAATCCCCAAATTAAGGAGGAGGGAAACAAGGTATGATTTCAGAAATTTTACATTTAATGTTATTTATATAATTAATATGGGGAAGTTGACTTTAAAGACTGTAATGTAAAGAATAATGTAGGAGACGTAATGAGTGGGTTAATTTCAAATAGAGGAGTAATGAAAATGGCATTGTAGAGACAAGAACAAGCAGCTGAGGAGGAAGATAGTGGGAACCTGAAGGAAGCAGCTGGGAATTCATAATTAAAATTTGGTGATTTGAGTGCAGCTGGACCACCTGTCTCCCTGCTCCTCAGCCATGATGTCATGTTTGGCCCACTTCGTTCACACAGACATCCTAAATTGAGTTACACCCTTCTAAGCCCATTTACTTTATTGGAGTTGGGAAGTTCTAATCCTGTTTAGGATGGTACTGTCAGTCAAAGCTTACAGTTCATGAATGTGAAATCATCTTTGGGTATAGTTGAGATCTGAGCCAACCTGGAAGTGGACAAGGAAACAAGAAGCTCTGGGCACTGGGGGAGGGGGCTATGGTCGGGACAGTGCTGCAGATGCCAGTATAGCAGAAAGACCGCTTTGGAAAGATGGAGGAGGATGAAGCCATATCGGGGGAGCAAGCCTATACTATGGCTTTTCCTCCAGATAGGGAGAAAAATCCTGTGGCATGTTCCAGTGCTGTACTGAAGGAAATGATGGAATGTGCTCCCTGAAAGGCCGACAGGATTGTGTGATCAAGCAAGACCTTGAATGTAGGAATTGGGCAGCACTAGCTGCCATTTAATTGAAAGGGCTATGCATTTAGCTGAGAATAATTAGAACAGAATGCCTTAAGTTGTATGAAATTAATTTGAGTTGGTCATCCTGGAGCAGGATATGGCACAAAGTAGACAGATCCAATTCACAGGTGAACATGCAACCAACAACATGAAATGCAGATGGCTTTTATGGCAGAAAGTATTGGAAATTCTAGGCATGTTTTTCACTGGATCATAAATTGATTATTTCATGCCCAGTTTTTGAAGTACTTGTACATAATTTACATAATCGTGGTGGACAAAAAGTTATTGGTAGAAAAAAGTCTTGCTTCAGTACCTTAAATGTTTCAGAACCTTTTACGTACGACAGTATCAATGAAAACCTGAGAGAGGCTTTGAAGAAATAATGTTATGATTGCTGAGGCCTGTATATACACACTTCCTTCTTGCTTCCAGACTTTTCATCTGCAACTATGACAAGCTACAATTTGCTTTTTTGTATGTAGAGGTTGATATTTTCTAACAGGAACTCATAAGTGGCTTAGGCTTCATAAGGTGGCTTCATATTATCAGTTCATTAGACTAGAAGTGTATATAAGAATGGTTTGGGTTGAATCCCAGAGGTTCCATTCCACTAATAGTGGCGCTTTCCTCTAGTGCAAAGGAGCTTTCTTCTGATGGAATAGAATTCGTCCACCTGAGCAAGGTTACACAGTTAGTTCTTCGATATTTTCTCTCAAATAGTTGGGGATTGAATCCAGGACAGATAGTGCAGTCTTCTGCAAGTTTCCTGGGAGTACAACCCATTGAATACAGAAGGTCTTACTTTGGAAATACTGCATAGTTAATGTAAGTTACCAAAGCCAGCTGTTATGTGGGGTTGAAGCTTTCATCACAAATATTTGTATTCCAGAATTTGTGCTGATCATTGATGTACAAAGCTTCTGTGAGACCTTTTAAAAATACAGTTTGCATACATTCATGGATATTTGAAAATTATATATATATATTTTATTTTGATAGCATGGAAACATTCCTTTTGAAGATAAATCTTCATCCCTCAAAGTGGTAAGCATATTTGGTTGTCCCTTAAACTATAATGGAAGAGAAGGAAGGCATATTATTTGAAACAGTACTTGATAGCTACAAAGCCCAGTATGGTCTTACTTTAGTTTCTTTGAGTTATACTGCCCCAGCGGTATCCTCCTAGATATGAGGAGGGTTATGTGGGTAAATGCTTTGAAATTTGAAAGTACTAAGTGTTTCAGAAATGAGAAGTCTTTGGTCAATATAATATTTTCTAACACTGAAAGCATCTAAGAATTGAGATATCTGGTACCAGTAACACTCCACTAAATGTTTCAGTTCAGATTTCTTGTGGCTATATATAAGTCACAGCTGATTTATGGCAACCCTGTAGAGTTTTCAAGGCAATAGATTTTCAGAGGTTGTTTGCCATTGCCTGCCTCTGCATAGGAGGCCTAGACATCTTTGGTAGTCTCTCATCCCTGCTTAGCATCTGAGATCTGTCAAGATCAGGCTAGCCTGAGCTATCCAGGTTAGGGCAAATCTTTCAGTTAAGTTTTCTTGTTGATAATACAAACTCTAAGTTACAGGCAGGTACCTTTTATGATTGTGCTTAGAAACGTTAATGTTACACCAGTGTTCTCTGTAGCAAGCTTGTAAAATTTGGAAATAAAATGTGCGTCTGGGAACTCTTAATCTTGATTTTTTTTCAGGCACATGTGCTTGTATTATTTACTTCCACACTTCACGTGTGGGCTGCACAGAACACCAGTCTAACACTTCTGTTTTCCCCAACTGAATAAAAGAACACCAGCTTACAAGTTACAAGTTATATTGCTGCATAGGGTCAAATGTATTTCAGGAGTATCTCTGCTGAATGTTGTGTTTAAAGCAGCCTGCAGATGCTTTGCTGTCAGAGTTCTTCACTGTAGCAAGGAAATAACGTAAGCCAGGGTTCATGGACCATATAATATATTTGGAATAAGGAGAAAGCAGACAACTTATGAAATGTGGCTTCTAGATTCCTTATGCTTGTTAATGAATCTTTCCCTTTTCTCCCACCCCAGGATTTTCTATGGTATCCGGAAGTCAATGGCTCCATGAAGCAACGGATCAAGTCATGGACTGAGGTTAGCTGATACTGGAACACAATTTATGGGATATAGATCAGCATACCCAGGAGGGGTGCTTATAGCATTTCAGGTCATGAAGTTGTGTTTTGAATAGGCTACAGTCTGGCCGATAGTTGAGCAGTGGATTTTAAATGAACAAAGACTCTTGTCATGTTATCTGGGAAATTTGCACAGTGGATGATCCTTGTGCTTGCACACAGTGCTCTCCTTCATAGGAGAGAAGTTGAAGGCTCACTTTGCAAAGGGGATTACTGTTTATAAACTGAGTCACAGACATTTGGGTTGCTGCGTGGATGAAATGAAACACAAAGCAATGGGACAATGAAAATTAGGCGGTGCTCATTTATTCAATTTTAACTGATACCCCAGATTTTACTAAGTGGGATCCATAACAGATCTCTGTAACCATGATATCATGTAGAGTTACAAGTATGTAAATAACTACTTAAAATCCTGTAAAATTAAATATTCTAAGAAACAGATGTTTGCCATACTCTGACAGAGGGCACAATCCAGGGAAATGAATCCCACTGAAATCTGTAGAACTTCAGTGCTCAGCAAATAAATCACATTAATTTCAGTGGGATTTAGGCCCAGATAAATTTCTCTGGACTAAGCTCTGTATTCTAGTTCTTCAGTGGCTGCTTTTGCTATTGTGTAAAGTTGACTCATACCTTTTACACTTCTGATTAGTTCCAAAGCAACATTAGACTATATCTGAGATGATATTTACATGTAGGCAATTTTGCCTGAATACTTAATTACGACAGCTTACATTAGTGATGAAGATTAACCTCCTTTTCACTGTGTTGTAGGGGTCCTCTCCAAAGCCTCACATAATCATAGCAGGAGCTGCTACGGTAAGCTGTTCATAAAGCAGTTGTTTATAAGTCCAAGTGAACATTAGGACTGCTGTTTCCTATTTTGAGTCTTTTAGTATCACATATGATCTTCCATTTCTCCTGGAAAGACCACTTCCTCCCATATTGGCCAGCCTGCCAGTTAAGAACTGCCTCACAAGCCCTACTCTCTGTGCCCCTGTCCTCAGAGGCAGGTAGCAAACAGGCACCTTGCTTATCCTTGAAGCTCATCTGGTGCCAGTTTTTCTTTCTCTTTCTCTTAGGTGCCAGGTCAAAACATTTCTACTCACTCGTGGTTTTTAATTAAGGAGTTGATTTTTTAACACTATATTAGTCTGGAAACTATTTTTTCTGTCAGTAGTCTTTTTATGGTCTATATTTTTAAACTGGCCTGGGCTGGAACTTTTTTTTGTATTTTTGCATTTGTGTGTGTGCGCACGCCTGTGTATAGGAATATGGATTCCTATGGGCCTCATGTCTCCCTTAGAATGTCTTTAGAATGTCTGTAGGCTTCATGTTTCCCTCCCCTTGGGATGTACCCCCTGTTGTTCTGACTTCCTATGTAAGCCAGGTGGCTGACCATTTGCTCAAATTGCCCCCATAAACCAAATGTCTCTGCTGAAGCATGGCAGAGACGCACGTAGCCTCCTGGATGGGAGGGGGTCAGGGGATCATCTTACTGCAGAGGATGGTCCCTGGACCCAACCTATCCCCACCCATTTACCATGACAACCCCAAATTTGGAAAGTACCTGTCTCATTGTGGTTGGCTACTGGCCAGGGCCGGTCATAATGAGATTGGGGTTCAAATTGGCTAACCCTTAGAGAGGAGCTCACTTTTCTCTGGCTCTCTCTCTCTGTTCTTGGATGTACCCTGAAATGCTGTGTCTCTGTCATGTGCTCTTTGGGAGACAAAGGATTCTTTGGTGCAGCTGAGCACATGGCTGGAACCTTGGACAAAGATGGGACCTAGTTGGACTTTATTACAATGGACTGTCTTGGACTATGGATTCCTGAAGTTGGTAACTATGCAGATCTCTAATGTTTAGTGAGGGCCAAGGGCCATAGGTTTTTCTTGTTTTAAAGTCTTTCTAGTTCTGATTGCAAGTCTCTGATAAATAAACTCTATTCTGTTTATAACTGGTGTCTGATTGAGGAAGGGACTATAGTTGAAAGGTTCTGGTGGCTGTGTCTGTAAATCCAGAGAGACTACCTCTCCTGGGTTCTTGTGTAATTTATCGTTTCAGTCAATGAGTCTTTCTCTTCTGTCAGTAGTTTTTTTATGGTCTATGTTTTTAAACTGGCCTGGGCTGGAACTTTTTTTGGTATTTTTGCATTTGTGTGTGTGCGCACGCCTGTGCCTGGGACTTCCGGCGATTCCTACTGGGGCATGGAGGATGTTCAGAGAAGTGGCTTCAAAGCCTGCCTCTGCCTCCCAATCCTGGTATTCTCTAGAGGTCTCCCATCCAAATACTTGCCAGGGTTGGCCCTGCTTAGCTTCTGAGAGCTGACAAGATCGGGCTTGCTTGGCCTATCCAGGTCATGACTTAATGCTGGATTTTAATTAGTATTTTAAATGCTTTGTTTTTATTACTTATACTTTATAAGCCACCTTGGGCAAGTTCCTGCAGAGTAGGCATAATTTTTTTCTGAATAAATAATTTTACTCTTTCTTCATGAACTGTCCTTTTGTGTTCATTGCCACATCCCATATGCTGCCAGCCAGTGCCTCTCTGCTCATTTTTTCATTGCTGCTGCTGTTCCTGATCTTACAACACTATTTTATTCATCCCAGCAGACATTACAGGCTTGAGGCACCTTCTTTGTTCCTACCACCTTCTTGTGGAATGAGAATTACATGGCCTGATCTGTAGAAGAGCTGACATAGCTTGTTACCATCTAGTATATGAAGGAATCTGCTTTAAGTCTTATATGTCTCTGTTTTAGGCAATTACTAAGTATCACATCCATTAAGCTAAAGCAGTTCTTAAATACTTCTGCTCTGATGATGATGGTAATAATAAAAGTCTTGTCAAGTTGCAACTGATTTGTGGTAGCCCTGTGAAGTTCCACTTCTGTGGCGTTTTCAAGAGAAGAGTAGAGATGGGTTGCCCTTGCCTTCCTCTGCACAGCAACCCCAGTCTTCCTTGGTGGTTTTCCATCCAAGTACTGATCTTGGCCCACCCTGCTTAGCTTCCAAGCTCTGACAAATTTAGGCTATTTAGAGTGTTCCGATTATATTTCCCATAAATTCATGTGCTGAATATTTATTTTTGTACCCCTTTAGTGGTCCATCAAAATTCATAATGGAAGCAATGAAGCCCTCACGCAGTATAAAATCAATATCACATCGATTGCGCCTCTTCTGGAGAAACTGGCAAAAAGCAGTGATGTCTACTGGGTCTTACAAGGTAAAATGAATGACGTGGCACAACTTTTAAGCTTTCTAGTAAATTAAATTTTATTTATTTATTTATTTGTTCGATTTATATCCCGCCCTCCCTGCCAAAATGATTGTGGATAGTTTTGTATGTAATACTTGTATCATCTGATTTGAGTGTTCAGATCAGGCTTTTCCTAGGATCTATCCTGGGAGCAGCTGCTGAAGTTGGCACGTCATCCTAGCTGGAGTGACTGATTAGTGTTCCACTTTGGGGTTTATTTAAGGGAAAGTATGTTCCTTGTTAAAGAGGAATTTGCTTGCCCATGACATCAGTGAACAGATGCTGCACAGGATGTTGCCCACAAACTTGTGGCTGGACTGAAGCAAGCTTCTGGTTTGAAAAGACTTCATGCAGAATTTTCAAGAAGGACTCTGTAGCCATTCCCTTCTCAGCAGATCTTCTCATTAGTAAACACCCTCAAGTGCAGCAGGCTAGAGTGCCTACTCCATGAGCATATCTGGACTAGACAGTTTCTCTGTACTTCTCCTAGCAGGAACTTAGTTGTACCAGATATGGGCTTGTGAGCTCATTCCAGGGAATCACTGTGAATGAGAGCACTATAGACTGAGTACTCATTTATTGTTTTGCTTTAAAAAATCTACTACTCATTTCAATTCAGATCCAGTCTATGAAGATATGTTGAGTGAAAGCAGGAAAATGATCACTAATGAGAAAATAGATGCCTACAATGAAGCAGCAGTCAGCATTCTAAACAGCAGTTCAAAAAATTCGAAGGCCAGAGTGAAAGTATTCAGTGCGTCTAGGCTGATAGCAGAAGAAACCATAATGCAGTCCTTAGATGGTTTACATCTTCCTGAATCAAGCAGGGAAATGGTGAGTAATCACTTTGTAAACACAACCTTTAGGATTAATTACTAGATATTAATGTTAACATCTAAAACAGAAAATGGCCAATAACACAAATTTTGTTAATATTTATTAAAATTATCTTAAACATTACACTCAAGTGTATCGTACAAAATTCTTCACAAGCTATATTTTGCAAAACATTTTTATCCAACATAAATAATTTGCAATGCCTAGTAACTAATGAGATACAGGAAAATTTGAATTATAGGGTTTCTTGGTTTAATTGGTTTGATAATTTTTTTCTGGATAAATGGGTCTCAGATCCTCCCTGTTGTCTCCTCAGACATTCCACCTTCTCCAGGTGTTTGAGAGTGGACTATTGTAACACAGTAGTCAGGAACATGAAATGAAAGACCCTGGCTTTCTCTCTGTTTCCACTCCCACATCTGTAATATGGGGGCAAATAATTCTTATATGGTTACATGGATCGCTAAAATGATAGATGCAAAATTTAATCATTTAGGGGAAGTTTTACATGTTTATGTCTGAGTAGGAAGAATTCCAGAGTTGGCACACTGGCTGCAATTGTAAGGACACTTTCCTGGAAGTAAGCCCCATTGAATACCATGGGCTTACCTCTAAGTAGACTTGCTTAGCTTTGCTATATATTCCCTTTCTGAAAAGACTTTGAGAGAAGGCCAAACGAAGCTCTTGGAAGAACTGTGCAGAAATGTTTTCCTCAACAGTGAGCATTAGTTATTATCCTGAAAACTAAGAGGAGAAAATTAAAGGTTGTTTCTTGCTGCCCTTCTTTCCCAGGTTCCATTGTTTGTATTATACTGTTTGTCCATGGGTTGGTCTCTCAGTAAGATGTTTAAATCAAATTTTCCAATAAAAACCACTTACATTTCTTTTGGTATTTTTTAAAAAAACCATTATGCTTATTTTAATTCCACCTGGGATCCACATAGTATGATGTGCTTAAGTCTAAAATCCCAGTGACCGAGTTATCTTTTCCCATGGACAGAGTGCAATGATTCTCATGAACGTGTACTGCAACAAGGTTATGAAGCCCATTGATGGTTCCTGTTGCCAGCCTCGACCTCCCATCACTTTGATACAGAAGCTGGCTTTTTGCTTTTTCGGTGCATCTGCAGTTGGATATTTGATTTTGGTCCTTATTCGTCGTAATGATCATCGGAAGAATAAGCCATGCACTGATATGGAAAGTGGAGAAGAGAAGAAACCTACAACGAATACTTCAGCCGTTTCTACACTAGAGACACTTTTGCTGTGCTTGTGCAAGCTTGGCTTGATTATGGCCTACTTCTACCTGTGCGACAGAGCAAATCTGTTCATGAAAGAAAACAAGTTCTACACTCACTCATCCTTCTTCATACCAATCATTTACATACTGGTGTTAGGGGTGTTTTATACTGAAAACACTAAAGAGGTAAGCCTATCTTTCCTTGACTTTTGTTATTTTACCTAAAGATCATTGCTAATTTGACCTTTAAATAAGGCGAACAATAAAAGCCCAAACCATTTCAGTGGTCTGTGTTTTGTTTGTCTGTTTGTTTTAGTCTTTAAATCCTGTAACCTGTCCTGATCCTGAGCGAATTGACCAAATAGAAGTCTAAAACAATTATAAATAAAATAAAAATCAGCACATCCAGAAAAATGTAGTGCATAGAGAATGGGTGAGTTTTGGAGGATATGGTTTCAACTGATCAAAGTCCAGGGCCCTGAGCAAGAGGGCCACCCTAAGTGCATGCACCAGGGCTTCTCATTTCTCCCTACCCCTCTAATACCAACTCTACAAGCAGCATGTAAGGCTGCTTATGCAGCTGCTTAGTTTGCAGCCCGCTGGATTGTCACCTGTTTCTAGTAGTTCAGCATAGATATAAATTATTCCTGGGATAGAATCATAGAATCCCAGAGTTGGAAGGGGGCCATATAGGCCATCTAGTCCAATGCCCTGCTCAGTGCAGGATCATCCTAGAGCTACTTCTTCGTTGAATACAGTATTTTCATACCCATTTGCCCCGTGATAGCAGCCGTTGTATTTCCTCATTTTATAGCTATGTGCTTGAACTTGTTTGAATAGCAATGCTCTTGTTTTTATTTTGCACAGACTAAAGTGTTAAATAGGGAACAGACAGATGAATGGAAAGGCTGGATGCAGCTTGTAATTTTGATCTATCATATCTCTGGAGCAAGCACTGTAAGTTTTATTTGTGTTTTTAAAATAATTCTGTATAAAGAAAAGGGAGGAAGAGAGCTAAAATGGGAGGGAGGGGTAGGATCTTGACGCAGGTGGAGCCCACCTCTCACCACCACCTAAAATATGGGTGAGTTGAATGACCCCAGGAAAGGGTTCTCATTGATGCACATTAAATGGTGCAACTAGGGATGTTACATTTGATTTGAATCTATTAAAATTACCTGCTCCATTTTTTTTGTTTTTGTTAACAGTTTTTGCCTGTTTACATGCACATCCGGGTATTGGTTGCTGCATATCTGTTCCAAACAGGCTATGGACATTTTTCATACTTCTGGATTAAAGGAGATTTTGGCATTTACAGAGTGTTTCAGGTGAGAAACAAGATATTTTTATATGGGGGGGGGATTGTTATTTGTTAACATTTTTAAAATGTAACCCTATTCTACCAGCTTATGCTGGGTGTTTAATGCCTGGTGAGTAGTTTTCCCACTAAGCCAGTAGGAGGTGGAATGGCTCCTCCTAACAATTAAGCCACAAGGACAAGGAAAGTCCTTGAGGTAAAGGATTGCCTGTTTTGTTCTGGAACTCAGTTGCTGCTCTGTTTTAGCAAAGATGTTGGACTTCTGGTTGAAGCCGGCCACTAGAGTGAACTTCCTGTTGTCCCTCACTCCTCTCCAAGAGGCTTAGCTTAGCCTGACCCCTAGCTGTTTTGGAGGAAACTAGATGCTAGCCATTTCCACATAGGTTATTTGCCCCAGATTCAATGCTGTTGGGAAGCAGATTTTCTTTTTCCTTTGTTCCTCATAGCATCATGGTGCATTTCTGTACTTCCCAGGATTTCCCCAGCTTTTCTCCGACCTTTCCCAAATCTCCTTTGCTCTGAAGCTTTGGCAAAGATTGCAGCAAAGCCTGGATGGCTGCCGGTGGGCAGGAAAGTTTAGGTTTTTGTGCTTGCGGCCACATGGCAGCCACTTTCTCCACAGCGTATCTCTGCAACAAAAGAGGCTAGAGACTTTTTAAAAATGGAAACTGGGGATTCGGGGAACTCATTATGTACATTATTATGCTATATCAATATAATAGTATTCAACTGTTGACTCCCCCCTCCCTTTTTCTAAGCTGGAAAAAGCCCTGGTGGTACAGAGGGCAGAAAGAATGGCTGCGGCTGAGGGAGTGGAGCAGCCAAACCATGAGGCATCATGCCCCGTTGCTGCTGTGGTGTATTGGCAGCTGCAGCAGCAACAGGGAAACTAACACATGCCAGTCCTCATGTGGGAAACATTGCTGTCTTGTTACTGCTCACTCATGTACCCCTGTCCAGCAGCTGGAAATCATTCCTGTGGTTCTAAAATGGGAGGGGGGGAGACTCCAAGAAGTCTGTAAAACGTCACCTCAGAGGAATGTTTTAAAGAAGAGGAGTCCTTGAGTATCTCAGTGGCTATGTTTACTGACAGGTATCCAAAGTAGAGACCCTGGCTTCAACAAATAGAGATATGAGATGTCTTGCTTTGAATCTCAAGGATGCCCCCTTGCATAGAGCTGTCTTTTCAGTTGTACACTTGTTCTTTGCAAGGCAAGTTTCTTAATATATAGGTGTTTGCAGTTTGTGGCTCTCATTGGCTCTTATTACGAGTTCTCGCTCTCTCTTTTTAAGGATCAATTTATATTCCTCCTTCAGTGTCCTCTGTCAGGAACTCAGGATGTCCTTGTCATAAAAAGACTAGTAGGATATTGTGACAGTCTGGAAGACTATCAGTGACATTCCTGATAAATTAGCCAAAGGCACCTTCCTCTGGCACAGTCCTCCAACACTAGGAGTAATCAATAGATATTCCTGTCCCTTGAAATAGAAAAGTGACTTTTTGTCTGAGATCTCCCGTCTTACGAATCATCCTGTAATGCATAAGTCAGATGTATAGCTATACTTTAGAACTGATCATTGCATCATTACATGATGCAGTATTACTGATGTGAACAGCAGAGTGTCTGTGATTTACTGTTTGATAGGCTTCCTTGGTGAGAACCTGTTTTCAAATTTTTTGCAAACCTGGAGGATCTTATGTGTAAATGGGCCTGATCTGCAAAGATACATATATCTTTGTATATATATCTTTGTATATATAAGATATATATATCTTTGTATATACAAAGATGTATATACACACACACACACATCCCTCCCCCTTCACTATTAGATACAAGATTTAAGGTGTGTCCACCATTTTTTCTGTTACATTCCATGTCACCTTTGGAATATCTTCTCCTTTGAGGCTCTCCTAGTGCCTGCTTTACTCTCTTTTAGACACTGGGCCAAAATATTTTACCTTACTTAGGCTTTTAATTAAGGGGTTTTAAATGTTTTATTTATTTATTTATATTTAAATTTATACCCCGCCCTACCCCGAAGGCTCAGGGCGGCTTACAGGGCACTAAGTGCCAGGTTAAAACAATACAATATGATTTTAAACAATAAATTACAATAAAATATGAACAATTTACAACAAATTACCAACAAGTTTCAAACAAGAAAAGAGAGATCTTATCTCACATAGCTACCCTTGATCTTATCCTAGAGCCGTGTTTGGTGCTATGTTCCACCCTTAGGGGCCAGGCAATCCGATGTTAATTCGATGTTAATTCGCTGGGGCTGAGCAGTGGGGCGGCTCCTATACAAAGGCCTTATGGTCTGTTGTTAGCCTGAGGACTGTTTTGTCAGTTTCATTTTAGACTGCTCCATTTTACTTGCTATTACACCCTAAGTTGCTTTTATTTATATGATTTTTAAAAATTGAACTGGACTGTTTTATTATGTTTTACTGATATCTTTTTATTTGAAGTGTATTTTTTATTATATAATATACATCACCTACTATCAAACAGTCTTGCCCTCCTATGAACCCATATGAAAGGGGAGGGGGAATCAAGACATAAAATGAGAAAAAAAGAGAAGGAGGAAAGCTAAACAAATATAATAATGTGTATATCAAGTTTCATAGATCACGAGACTTCCGGTTTAAGCGTTTCGCCGCTCAGACGCGTCCCACTTCACTCTGATGGGGACGCGCTGAGACCTGGCTGACGGGAGAGGTCCGAGTTCTTCCCGGACCTTCCCAGGGTCTCTGTAGGAGACCTCCAGCCTGGGGAGCTGAGGAGAGCCTTTTCCAAGGTCACAGCCAAGGAATTGAGGCTCACCTTTTCTCCGAAAGGTCCCGTCGCCGCGGAGCCAGTATGGCGCCCAGAGACGACTGCCGGAGCAAGCGGCCACAATCAAAACTTTAAAATGCTTTCAAAAGATCTCCAGGGCTCCAAACTGTGAGTTAAGCAATGCTCAAATGAAAAAGCGAATCGGACCTTGGTAGTAATTGGAAGCGCCTAAGTTTGAAGCATGGGGGGAAGGGGATTCAAGTACCTCCCCCCCTTATTTTGAACAAATCTTAAAAGCAGTTTTAAATCGGAAATAAAAAGACTTTGAGCTAAAACAAGCGCATAAGAAGATAAGCAAATGCAAAAGTTGCGAATATATACAAAGCCGACTTAAATCGCATAACTTTTGTCTTGTTTTGGAAAATTTACTTCTTGTTGATATTATGGCTGGGAGAGGACGGAGGGCGCCGGAGAAAAAACTGGTGACCGGAAACAACATACCAACGACTCCCTCCCAGAACCAGGAAGTAACTACAGACTTTTCTTCACTGTTAGCAAATGCACTGCGACCCCTAATGGACCAGATGACTAACCTCAACACTAAATTGGACAATGTTCAAAAACAATTGATAAAAGAACCTCAGCAACCGAGAAAACACTGAAAAAATGGAAAAACAGACTGAGAGCATCAACAAAAGAGTAGATGGAGCAGAAAAGGAAAGATCCTACGACAAAACACAACTAATACAGCTCCAGCTGGAAAGATCCATGCATGTTCTACGATTTCATGGGATCCCTGAAGAGAAGAACGAGGACTTAAAAGAACTTTTTGGTGACTGCCTTGGCCCCATTAATGGATTACAAATGAGAAGATCTGTTGAAAGAGATGGACATGGTTTACAGGACTTATCTGGATTTTATAAAGAAAAATAAACTCCCAGGGGAAACCTATCTAAAATTCACAAAACGAACTACCAGAGAACTGGTGCTAAAATCAACAATGGGAAAATCCTTAAAAATTAAGAATGAAGAGGTAAAATTTTTGAAAGATATCCCCTTTGAAGTCAGAAAATGGAGGAAACTCTACAGGATGCTTACTCTCACTCTGCAAAAAAAGATAATACCATATAGATGATTATTCCCAGAAGGGCTGAGCTTCATTTATCAGGAGAAAAAAATATAAAATTGACTCTGTTCCAAAAGCTGAAAATTTTATGGATCAAACATTTAACTCAAAATATAAGAAAAAAGAAGATTCTAAAACCGGATCGGGAGGAAGAAGAAGAATCCTACTCACAGCATTCAACAAGCATTAGTTCCACCTCATCAGAACCATCAGAATCGGAGAAAGGAGTAGCATCCCCCAAACTCCAGAAAACGAAGAATCGCAAGAAGAAAAGACTCTAGAACTAAGATAACAGTTTTAAAGGCAGTATTTGTGCTAAGCTATGAAATGCATATTCTTAATGTAATACTTTAATGAATCAACTTTTATACTAAACTTGTAATATTAGGTTAATAAGCACTACTTCCAGTTAACCAGATCAGGACATGTATTAGTCTTTTCCCTTTTCCCAAATCCAGTAGATGACTTTAGAATGGTAGTTTCCTTCCCCCACCAAGTAGTTGTATGTATTAGTTTGTTCCCTTCCCATTTCCCATAGTTATAGTGGTAGGGTTTTAGTATCCTCCCCCTAACCCATAGTTTTAAAATAGTTTGTAGAAAATGCAAATTAAAAAATCCCCTTCGGGGGGCCAAAAAAAAAAGTTTCAGATTACTAAAAATTCTGGCCAGATACTGTTGCATTACATGCCTGCATCCCATCTATTAAATGCTGTTTTTTCCTTCACTGTAAGATGCAGTAGTTCTTCTGTCCAAGTTCTATATGTTGGGGTGCCTCTTGGACTAATCCGTTATCTCGTCTGTTGAATCACATTTGTATGTAGGTTTCACTTACTTTAGATGAATCTGATTGGGCTGCAGACTCCTGCCTAGACTCACAGATTTTTCTTCTGCTTGGTTGAACAAGGAAGCCTCTTATTAGGAAGGGGCATTAGTAATAGCAGCAGGGGGTCTTGCACCTAAGAAGCCATTTACTTATTTTACAATATAAGGATTTTTTTTCTACAAATGCATAGCAGCCAGCATGGCATTCCAAGCGGTCTTCATTTCAGTTCTCAAAGGCAAGCAGCCTTGTCCATGAAATTGTCAAGCAGGCACACTATTGTTAAAAAATTCAAGTTGTCTCTCCAATACTCTCCTTCTGAAATAACAAAGTCTCTAATGCTAAAATGTAAATACTGTAAAATTACTTTTCACTGCACGTTTAATGGAAATATTTTCTTCCTTTTCGATTACCCAACAGGTCTTATTTCGGCTGAACTTCCTAGTTGTGGTACTGTGCATAGTGATGGATCGGTCTTACCAATTCTATTATTTTGTTCCTCTGGTCACTGTCTGGTTTATGATTATATATGTTACATTAGCTCTGTGGCCTCAGATAGTCCAGAAGAAAGCCAATGGTAATTCTTTTTCTTTTTTCTTTTCTTTTTTTGCATTAGAAAAGCCTGTTGATATGCTAAAATAGATAAGCACTTTTATTTGTAATGCAGTTATAGTTAACTTCAGGTTTCTTTGGAGTTGACATTGTTGTCACTGTAATAAGTTGAACATGATATTTGCATCAGTTAATTAAATTACTGTTCTGTAAGACAATTGTCAAAACTCTCCTTCTGGTGAATTAAGTTACACTGCAGATTACAAATGATAGAACACAATAAAGGTACACAGAGGATTTCATTGTGCAAACTGCTGTTTCAGAGGGGAGACGACAACTGGTACATGAAAAGAAGTATGTCTTCCACATTCTTGTGCATTTCTTTCAACCGTGTGCAACCAGTGTTTTCCTGATCTGCTGCTGCTTTTTCAATGCCAGTTTTTGAAACCTTTAAACAGCTTCTACAGTACCATTTAGAGATCACATAATGAACAAGATGATTTCACAGGGTCGTCCAGCTAAATGAATTTGGTTCTGTGTTGTCATCACTGAAGGCAATAGAGGCCCCCTTTTCCCACAGTCCAGATCTGGGCAGGTCAAGTGACAGTGTGTCCCAGTTGCACAGGAAACTAGGTTGTTTCCTGCTTTGCGTCTTTATACTAGCTGTCTTATTGGCCTCCAGTGTTGTGTTTCAAGGTTTTCACCCTGGTCCATTTCTCTCTTCTTCTTTTTTTGAAACCCCCTAGAGGGTAATTTTATTATTTTTCCATAAGACTACATAACTACAACTAGGGATAAAGAAAAGATACCCACACTAACTAAAATCCCAAGAGTAGGAGATCATATCCGTGTTAAAGTACATGTTAGTAAATACGTGTTAGTATAACATTATACTTGTGAGTTCTTTCTTTTAACTACTGCTTCAATATTAGTAAATTTAGTATTTTGAGAACACTTCTTGAGCATCTTCTTGTCTTCATAGGGCCATTTTCAGAGTCCTTCTGCTCTTACTTCTGTTTTCTCTCTCTAAAATCATACACAGTTTTGCTTGCTTCCGCTCCCGCTTCACCCACAGAGTCACCATCCGTTCCAGAGGTAACAAAGTCACTCAATTTTGTTTCTTCATCTTTAAGTTCGTCTTCTGATCCCAGCTGCCGTCTCAAAAATTCCTTCGTTTTAAAGATGGAGTCGATCTTCTCTCTTTTGTTGTTAATTTTAAAGATGACACATTCAGGAATCCCCCACTGATATTGTACTCCATTTGTTTGAAGAAATGAGATTAAGTCCTTGTAACTCTTCCTCTTTTGACGAATTTCAAATGGGATGTCTTTTAGAGTCTTAATTGTATTCCGAAATTTCAGTGGATTTGCCGAGGTTGCCTTCAATATAACATCTCTGGTCTGTCTTCTTGCAAACTTGACTACAATCTCCCCAGGCAGGCTATTTTTAAAAATGTAATTAGAGTATGCCCGATAGGCAGACTCTATATCTTTTACTATTTCCTCCGCTGATAAGCCTGTTGCTTGAGCGATAATCTCTCCCAGAGTCTTCTTCAATTCTTCTTTCTCCTTTTCAGGCACTCCCTTGAATCTGAGAGTCAAATTGGCTTTCTCCATTTGCAGCTGTAAAATACAGTTTTTCTGCAATTTTTATTTTACTTCCACATCTTTCACTCTTTTCGTCATCTTTTTGTTCTCCGTGTCCATCTCCACCAGTTTCTCAGTTGCATGCTCCACTTTCTTTTCTGTCTCTACCAGCTGGTGTTGCTGCGAGGCGAAGTTTCGATTTAACGTAGCCAATTGCTGGTTAATACCACCGAGCTGCTCCAGTACCGCTTTTAGCATATCCACTAACGTCTTCATGACGTCTGCTCCCTCTTCCGGTCTTGGACTCTGGCTGCCTTTCGGTTTTATCTTCCCTCGTGAAGGCGCCATGTTCTCTCTTTGTTTACAATTTAAAACCTCTGTGCCAGAGCTCGAAAGACTCATCTTTCCCCTAAGACCGCTCAAGTAAGTCTCTCAAAATAAAACGCTGTTTCTCTCCCCTCTTCCCCCCTTCGCTTCGTTGATCTATTCAAGCGCTTAGGAGGCATCCCTCCTTGCGCTCCACTTTTCCTATGGGGGGTGGGGCTTCGTTTTAGAAAAGTAGTCCGTTTAGTTCACTCACGTTCATTGTTGGTCATATCTGACCCTGCTCTCTTTCATAGCTATTCCGCTTGATCTCCTGCGCTTGTCCCGGTTAGATTGGCTTATACCCAGAGGTCACCCATCGGCTGGACCGTCATGGCAGAGGGAAGCTTCTATTCTTCGGCATCAAGCCGTCGAAGAGGCTAACCCTCGAAAGCCCTCTGGCCTAGAGCCCATCACAAGGGCTCCGTGGGGGCGCCACTTGAGGTTGCACCCCCCAAGCCGAAGGTGTGCTAGTCGCCTCCTCGAGCTTCGAGGAGAGCGACCGCCATTGCCTATCCACCCACCGGAAGCCACCCTGGTCCATTTCTCAAGGCACATGACTGGCTGGGGCAGAATGTAAATGAGGATGTATATTCACTAATGCAGTGTGGATTGGCAGCATCCAGATACATATCTGGATATGATCCATTGGCATTCTTACTTTCAATGGGATGAGCATTGAGACACAATGCACTCTCTCAAACATGCTGCGTCTCAACTAGTTAACTATGGGTAACTGAATCGGTGTGAGGGATCATTAACCTGTTTGCCTTGGCAGTGTGGATTTGTTCTCTGCTTCCTCCAAAACGTGCCCCTTACGAAAGTTCTGTGTATTTTCACAAAATGGGTTAAGAAACACTGAAACAAAGGCAGCATGCTTAGTGAGGGAGCAAAGATGTTTGGCTTGGCACTAATTTTAATAGGGTGATTTGTTATAAAAGAGAAAAAATTAGGTTGTGTATGTGTATTGCATGGAGACAAAGTGTTCATCTGTTACTATAGTTGAGAAAAAACAACCAAAGACTCACTTTTTTGTTATTATTCTTATCCACAGGAAATTGCTTCTGGCATTTTGGTTTGCTGCTGAAACTCACTTCCCTGTTCATTTGTATATATTTTCTGTCGTGTTCTCAGGTTCGTACTGAATTTTCTTATATGTTTTACTTTAGATTCTAACTAGGGAGCAAAGCTCGTTGTGGACGAAGACAATGGGCCCTAGAAAGGTAGGGTGGGTGTGTGGGTGGGTGGGTGTGTGGAAGGAGAAAGAAAGAAAGAAAGAAAGAAAGAAAGAAAGAAAGAAAGAAAGAAAGAAAGAAAGAAAGAGGGAGGAGAGAGAGAGAGGAAGGAAGGAAGGAAAGAAGGAAGGAAGGAAGGAAGGAAGGAAGGAAGGAAGGAAGGAAGGAAGGAAGGAAGGGGGGGGAGGG